GGGGGGGGGTTGGGGGACAGTGGGGTACAGATGGTGTTTGTGTTTAGCGACGATACAGGCAAACCACTGGAAGCCATAAACCTGGTCACAATTGGTTGTCGCAGACTGGTTGAGCAGACTGGGAGTGTTTTTCTCTTGTCTGCGTTTGCCAACCAACCTTCATGGTCAGTCGGGAAAGTAAAATTTGATTGATAATGCACGTGACAACTGTGAATATTGTTCCCGGATCGATGTTATATTTTCCAGGACTGAATCTCGATCGCAGTCGGAATAAGAGATTGAACCGGTGAATTCACCGAGCAACCACCCCGTACAATCTATGCATGTGTGATTATCATTTTATATTTTCCATGTTTACCGATTCACTTGTAACAATTAGAAAAAACAACTGGACAGAAAACACAATATTAGCAAACAAATTTGAGTTTTACACTATTTCAGAACTAAACAAAACACAGGAGTAAATTTTCTTGCAAACGAACTCATTATTCATTGGACTATTTTCGTAAGAGAATATAAAAGTTAAAAGCGAAATTTGGTATTCAGTGATCATCTATCAGACTAATGCTATGAGGTCTACAAAATTGGGGAAGCACACTAAAATAAGTGGTGTCTGAATAATGAAAAATAATTCGGTAAACATGCCGTTAGGTTCATCCGTCTGGAAGAAAAAAAAAACAGGTAATCACATCATATCCATAATATAACTGTTATCTGCTTATAGAGGTGCATTTTATGTACATATCTCCATGTTGATGAACGGCTTAAGGGCTACTCATGAATTGTTTTTACGCTTCCCACTTCGTTGCTTGGTTGCGTAAGACGTGAATGAAACCAAAATGACTCACTATAAGGTCATCACAGCATCTAGGACTAGCACGACTATCCATCCTCCACCCATTCTCTACATCCACACCCACTCACCGTAGTTCTTTCGCTGGCGGATAGAACACGTAGTCGGTGTCCAGTTTTATGGCATGCACGCCTTCATCTCGAATTCGTTGAAGCATCATCCCAACAGTGTCATGCAATGCAGAGAGGACTTGACAACGGAATCCGGGCATATTTCCAGCTTGTTCCCATGCGTCCAGCTATGGAATAGAAATACGGTTTGTCTTTTAATGACTCAGTGAATTTACGGGAGCCAAACTTTGTAAACAAGCAATTACACAACAGTGAGTGAATTATAATAACCTACCAAAAGTAATCACCAATATTCTCGGTGAAGGATTTGACATGAGTAGTTCTTCAATTGACCACATCAACGTGCCGAACACAAAATGAGTGTTACTACAATTCTGATTGAACGAAGAAATGTGATTACTTAGGGGTTTCTAAGAAATTTTCAATCATTTTAAAGGGCACCATTTATTTGAATGACTATGATTCATTTAAACACGATGTACTCGTGAAACTTCTTTTAGGAGATCAGGCAGTAAATATTTGTGATACGATTCTGCTGAAGAAGAGTTTTGTCGTAACACTTCTGTTTGATAACTTTCAAACCGCTTATGAAAATTACCAGACGGACTTTCACAGCTGTCTTAAACGTCATTGGACGAATTCGGAAAGGAAAGATGACCAAATACCCCAGTTGCAAGCTGAAAATAATTTGCTTTTTGTTGGGAGATATTATACCCTACATTCCCGGAACTATAAGAACCCTATTAAATACGTTTCGTCGTTTTGTGTTAGGATTTAAAACTTCATGATTGCGTTGAATCTTGCACAACACAAAAAACAAGTGAACTGAGCAGTTGAGGATAATCCGTTGGCTGGTTAAACCGTTACAAATATCATCATGAATGTGACCCAACTGGAAACCGCACTCAGAATCCCCCAAAAGCCCACAAGCACAGTACCTCCTTTTGGCCCCGCAAAGATGTTGACCATGTTTCACTTTGTCTACTGACGCTATCAGCTGATCCATCCTTGTAAGTGTCTAGCCAATCATAGAACCTGTCTATAAGGTTGATATTTTTGTAAGTTTTGTACGACGTGTGTGACGGCTTTTACCCAATTTTGGATTTCGGTATCAGAAGCCATTTTTATATTTGATACAACTAAAAAGGTCTAGTGAGTTCAGGAATCCATAGTGCAATTTAAAAGATTTTGCCAAGCGTTGTACTCATTTCTAAATACGAACTGGAGTAGACTTTTATCTTCTTCCCCAGGTCCATCCAACCAAAAACAGAAAATAACCGGGTTTAATGCGTGTTTGGCAAGAGAGCACCCGTAACAGATTGCTATTGCTGGCATTTTTCGCAATATTCTTCAATTCCATTTTCTCATATGGAAATCGATAACCCCAAAGTGATGTGGATACTCAAGAAAAGTCGTAGGGATTTTACGGTCACAAGTGTGGGATTGGTCTGATCTTTGTGAACTGGTTAAAAATTAGGTTACCATTCTAAAGCCTAATTTGATTGTTATGATCTAGTGGGTTTCAAATGTCGACAAAAACGTGGAATCAGAACTATTCCTTCCTATCTTTCGGGTTGGGGATGGAGGGATAGGGGGGGGCGATAAATGGAATGAAATTCTAAAATGATAAATAGAATATTGTGATTGTTTTAGGATAAAACGATGTATGTGGCCAGTGCACACAGGGAAAAATTCTTCCCAGTTGCCACGTTTTCAACGACATTCGTCATTGAATAATTGTTCGACGTTTGCACTCTCTGGAGGAAAGCGGAATGTGACAACTTGAAGAACGCACATATTCGGTTGCTAAGACAATAAGCAGATTGACTTAAACCCGGTTGTGTCAAATCTTTATGAGGTGATTTGAGGCGAGCCATTTGGGGGAGTATGTTTTTCTTTGGCAATCATCATTGAACAAAATAGCTGGAATTGAGTAATATAGGAGGTCAACTGGCTCCATTTCAAGAAAAAAAGACGGAGACTTGATGATTACACTTACGGCATCATTGATGCACATCTTCTGTACAAACAAAGGAGACATTTTTGATGATCATGAACATCAAGTGGGAACCAGCGTAAACACTTGAGTGAGGTAATGAATGTTGTTAGATTCTTTCTAAATGATTTCTTTGATTTCGTTTTACCTCACATAAATGTTCCCCCTATCCAAGTTGCAGGATGCCATCGGAAAAGAAAGAAGCAAATAGATTTGACGATAATAGCAGAAAAAAGTGTTCTGTTGACTGTCTACACAGTGATAAAGTCTATCATATGTGCAAACGGTCGAGAAACACTTTTGCAACTCGCTCCATTTCGGACAAAATTTTGCTAAGCCTCCAGCACCAGTTAGGTAGCGAAGATCTAACTAACTGCACAAGTTTATTCTTCATTATCCTATTATTTAGTGGAGAAACTGTGCAGATTACCCAACTGTAGGTTATTAAAATAGAACAAAATACTTTGTTTATGTATGCCTTTTAAAAACGTGGCATCTGACTCAATAGAAATCTTTTCAGGTTCTTCCAAGTTTTCACATTGATTACCTGCATATTTATCAATTTTTATGTAATTAGAAGTTTTTATTGTTTAACACGTAAGAAACGGAGCTAGCAATTCCAACCTTGGTAGTAGGTGGCTTTCCAACCGCCAATTATTGTAACATGGCCTTCGCCATGAAGCACATCTCAGCAAGCACATAGAATCGGGATTTCCAGAATACGAATCCTCATTTTTATCCAGTTTTTCTCTCCAGTATTCATCCCACCAAATGGCTACCCTCACGTTTTCATTCAGGCCTTTTTCGGTTTTAAGGTGTAAAGTGAGGCTAGGGATTTTTGTTTCAGGACAAACAAGCAAGAGTCGTTTCGCTGTCAGCTCCAGACATTTATAAGCAAAATGTAAAACCTATTTTCCAGGCTATTTGTATCAGTTTTAACTTCAAAGATTAGGTCTTTCTTTTATGTTTTGATCCAAGCCGAGGTTGGCCCACTTCTTGTGATCTGGTGTGATGTTTATGGGAGTTGTATATCAGCCTTATGGAGTGGAACTAATAAATATATACATGAATACTTAATAAAAGTATTTATTTTTCGATTTTGGAATGTCTTACGTTAATCATTTGTTGATATGCTTACTAATAGGGTGAAGGGAATTTCGCACTTTAGGTCATCGAAACTCATGTGAATAACACATAAAAATGTGTTGTTCAACAAAGGGCAAACATCTTTACCGAAAGCTATTCAAAAAAGGGAAAGTAGTGATAATAAACTGTGCTTTGCTCGATCGATTCGTTTGGGCTCGCACCCTTATTTTGAACTGGTATCGGCCAGCTTTGTGAATTGAGAACCGCAAAATTATTTTTCTTCCAGATGTTTCAGTCAGCTTTTGTGTTTCTATTCGAATGTTTTGCACGACAACACGGACCGCACGGCTGTTGATGTCTGTCATAAGCGTGATCTTCATTTGTCCACAGCTGTGTTCAGTGTACGACTGATTGCATCTTCCCGGTACTGATCTAATCGGATGAGGGTTCTTCTGCTGGCATGATAAGTGGCTCGGATGAGATTGACAGATTTAGATAGGTCGGATGCATTCGAAGCCCATGTGCCCGCCGGGAGGGGACAGGGACGGAGGCAAAAACTGGATAAGTGTACCGGATGTGAACAGGTAAATCAGAACGGCAAACAGGTGGTACCTCGCCTCGAGTGGTTGCTATCGGAACATCTATTGATTATCAATGTGGTGTGTAATATTAGCCACTTATCACGGAAAATGTTTACGTTTTTATGGTTTTCGATGGATTTATTGGGAACGCAATCACTGAAATTTATCAACGTTCATTGCGAACGGTGGCTAGGATAATTATTATCAGATACGACAACAAACATGAGTTCTCGAGAAAATAAAACCAATGTTAGAAAAAACACCAAGCATGGTGGCGAGGTGAATTGCACATCCTTGAACGATACGGTGTACTGGCAATGCAATAATGACAAATCTCAACAATACCCCAAAATCTACCGGTCATTAAATAACTTATTTCTCACGTGTGGGAGAATCAATGACTACTCATCGGGTGCTAGACACACATGCACAGCGATACTCAGATCGGAGTAGGTGTAAAATTACCGGTGATGATTAGCGGCGTGTTCCAGTTTACGCACCGGATTCGAACTCTTTCAATGGCATTGTAGTAAGTTTAACCATCAATCCCGTTTGGGCTGGTATCCAATACTGAACTGCCATTGCTCATCTTTTTAGAATGTTTTAAAATCGGTTGTAAATTTCCATTTTAACCATTCTAATCAAATCTTATTCTGACGCTGATACAGTGGTGATTTATCTTCCGGTTTCAAGAGGTAGTGGCTGGAGTGCGTTCTACCTGTGAGATGTCTGGATCGACCCTCGATTGGATCGATTGATTGACACTGTTGATGAGACCCAGTTAGCTCGGAACCGCTTTCCAATGCTTCCCGGATTTTCAGTTCCTCTGTTTACGGCAAAATTCACCATATGAAGTATTTCTTGTTGAATGAAAACTTTTCCCATATATTTTGTCCATGTAGTACATCGGAATGTTGATCAAACAAGTATGGACAACAGTGTACCCCACAAGATAAGGTACTGTTTGGCCAGCGATAAAAACCGGTCGGCGGATAAGTACCGTCCACATTCTGGTTGGCGTTTGTATAGATGAGATTACAAGAGGTCATAGAGATTTGACCTTAACAGTAAGCACCCAGTGCTTTGACTAACCGGAAGTGCAATTGCACAAACATCGAAAAACGCATTACGGAATATGGAACAATTTCAAGTGTACATTTGCTTTATTTCTATTCAGCTATGACAGACTTTGTGATGTTTTGCTTCATCAAACTGCATATTACACAACGGTTCGAATTCTTTATCAGTACAACCCATGAGAGGAACCTTGAAAACCCAGTAATACCATATAGGATATTTCGGGCGTGAACACACTGCGACTGCATCAGTGCAGTTACTTTTTGCGAAGTTGTCATACAACGCATGGCGTTAAGCAGGGTCACCAACAGTAGGGTAGTTGAACGGAAACGCCTGAAGATGCGTGTCAATACAGCCACAAAGTTACAATAATCGATAAAGGACATGCACTGTGGTTGATTGGGTGAACGATTTCTGTAGACGGATTGATTTTCCAGTACCAACTGTGGAAGATTAAATGACATCGTTTAGCTATAACTCTGATCATTTGCGCTTTCAGTGGGGTTCGCGGATTCAGATGTGTTAGTCGAATTAAGCAATAGTTAAGCATCCGAATTGTGGGACTTACGTTTGAATCGCTCGATAGATCACAAAAGGGTGGCGGTTGTGTTATTTTAACAGGACATTTTCAAGAAACTGGCCACACTGACATTGGTCTGCATAGCGGTTGCTCAAAGAATGAAGCTGGTTCTACGAGGCCATAAATAAATTGGAAGGGAATCGATCATACCTGGATGACGCAACACAGAATTCGAGAGCTAACCGATTTGCTCAATAACAGTGGTCTCACACCGGTTACCACACATAGGTCATTAGAATAGTGTTGATGGATCAATTTGCTAATTGCCCACGAGAACATTTTGTCAAAAACTGTGAGTGTTGAAAAGTATTTCATTATCATTTTCAACGGTAAACGACATCAAATAATTAAAGAACAGCCAGTGTTTCACTCAAAGCATTCGTAGATGCTAATATAATTACAGAATAATACTTTAAATGTGGACGCGATTCTTTACTCTGTCTGAGGATCTAGCAAACGAAACCATGAGACATTTCTTGCTGTTTCTGCATCTTACATTGGCAGATTTAAAAGTAATTCCACAATTTTAATTTTATTGGTGAGGTAGGGCTGAACGTTCTTAGACAAGCCCCAATAATTAACTATAGATCACGACATATTGTAATAAAGTTGTATAAACCCTAGCAGATAGGAATTTCAACATGCGACATTTGGCAAATACCCGCTTCTATCTACACCAGAACTGCGAGAGTGCTCACAGATGTGCACGCAATCTGTGTGATCTCCAAATCGCAGTGGTCGACTGTGACTGTTCAGTCATTGTAAACTAAAATTTGTAAAATTTCCGATTTTTCGGACTGTAATTTGATTTGATCCACCACGGGAATAATTTTTATTTCTGTTGGTCAGACAATTGGGATCTGTTCATGTAAAAACGTTCATCGCAATGTCCAAAATCGGATTTTCATTATTTTATGTAGTTAGTTAATTCCCAATGTTTGGTTTTCCATTTTCCGCTGTTTGTTTTAAGGATTTTGCTTATATAATGTAACATTTTCAACCATTTACTGTCAATTTATATATTACCAAAAATGTATTCTTTCGGTAGTAGCAAACCCATATATTCTAACCATGAATATTTCATGATGGTGTTACTTTCCTGTTTCAGTCTCATCTCTTCAAAATACGTATGCTCAGTTTTCTTAACCCCATTTTGTTGGCTAATTGTGCATCAGCTTCGACGAGACGCCATGTTTTCAGCCATGTACTCAGGCTCTGTGATCCTCCCGATGTGGCCTCGCACTCAGAACACGGAACACATGCGATTACTACACCTAATGGACATGTTGAATGTGCTGGTGAAACGCAGGATTTTCATGCCCTGTCGTACAAGAAACTATAGTGAAGGGCAAAACTCAGGCTGTGTGAGTGTGTGCGTGTGTGTGTGCGCGCGCGTGTATGTGCTCACTACATGATAAACATTGGTATGAAGCGCTTCTGAAATGTAATGAACCATAGGCAGAGACAAGCGATTGCTCCATGTCAGAGGAAAAACTGGCAACGAGAATTTTGCTGATCAGGAGTGAATCATTTTACAATCTATCGAACTATAGGCTGGTTGCTAAACAAGAGTTACTTTTTTAGTTATACCTATGACTAGTTAATTGTTAATTATTTTTAAAGTTACACACAAAATTTAACCAGAAAACATTAAGGCACAGTGCTACTTGTCCCAATGTTGTTTGTTTGATTTATAACATGGATGTACGCTATTAGTAATAAAATGATTCAATCTCAATTAGTTATCGATCTTCCTCCTTATTTTAGCCTTAGTTGAGCCTGTATGACGACAGACACGAATAACTAACATCTGAGATGATTTTTGGGTTGATGGTTTATTTAACGACCAATTGGTAGAATGAAAACGAGAGAAAAAATGTGAGTGGGGCTGGTAAAGGGTGCTTTAAATTCACCTGGCCTCGAATACACAAGTGAGTGTCATAAAATACTGTCATAGATAAAAGTCTAATGGAGAGATGAAGCACAAACGTAATCCTGATCGACATGCGAGCATCAGGTGAACATTATGCGTTCAAACATACCCTCTCTGCCACCTTGGGGCTAGCAAAATCCTGCAAAGCCGGACCCTGACTGGATAAGGAACACGAAAATCCGAGCCGCAAACCGGTTGCTGGACTGAGCGAAACACCGGCCACACTGGATCGTAGCGACAGACTGATGCTGGGCAGTTGGGCTTGAAATGTAACATAAGTTCTCGGTTCTTTGTTCTTACACTCCTTGTTGTGACAGCCTGTCTTCTTGGGATCAATAACTTTGGCCTGTTCCGAGGACGGGTTAACTCGACACGAGCATTGATACGTGACGCGGATCACTCGGACGAGGAAACGATCACGATTCGTGGCTCGTAAACGCGGTCGAAGTAAGTAGTGTTTATCTTCCTGCACAAAACCGGTTTAGCAACAATGTGGTCTGTGAGATCAATCGTTACTAATTGTAGGCTCAAAATATAACTAAAAAATTCCATTGACTTCAAAAGACTTTTTGCGCGTTTATTTATCGAGGAGTGCCGTCAATTGATCACAATTCATTTCATGGAAAACAGTGTAGCAACGTAAAATGAATGAATTCTGATACGCAGTGGCATTATAAATATGCAGTTTCTTGTCTATTTATGATGTGACATTGCTAGCCATAAAAGGTGCTCCATCTAACAGGTAGCAGTGATGACAAGCCTGTAAGTTATGAATTGGCCAAAATCCAATCCAAACATTGAGATTAAATTTGCATAAGCGTACTGTTTGCATTTCGACATTCAACTTATTTTGGAATTTTCACATATGCCACCAACTGTTACCGTCTCACAAATTCGGTATTTAGAGTATGAAAAGGCCATTGTTGGACAACTGACCAAATAATCATTGTTATTTGACTCTGATTGATAAAGATGACTCGGAAAGGAAAAGTCAAAGTGTGCTTTGTTTTCGTAACTGCTGTGATTGTGTCGTGTAGGAGAGTTATTACTTGGAAAAACAATGGAATTTGTTCTTAAGAGAGCTACTTTTTAAAAAATGAAATATATTTGGTCGAGGTATCTAGATCTAGTCGCTGAATAATTATCCGGTTTAGTATTTGTCAAGGTTCAATGTAATCTGTTGCCTGTTTGACTGAAAAAATAGCACAGTATTTTACAGAGCGTTCAGACGGTGATAACAGACGAGTTCTTTTTAGTCTAAAACGCATCTTACAGCAGATAAAATCTCTTCCACTGATGAAAAATCTAAACTTCAACAGTGCATTCTTGTGAATTTTCGTTGTTGTCGAAGAAAACACATTTGGAGCATGGTCTTTTGACGTCGTACAAAAGCAGGAAAACATCTATCGTACAGCTCCATAAAAATATTCAGAAGTTATCAGCAATAACTACCGGATCGTTATTCACGCCGACTGTCACATTACACGGTTTAGTATTGTGATATATGCACTATAAATTGTTTCACACCATGACCTCTAATGAAATGAACTTGAGTTATTCTACGGCAGTCATATAACTCTGTATTCACCACAGGTCGTTCTATTTAAACAGAATCGACGAGCGTACATGATGTAAGCAAAATTAATGTGATGAAGTTTATCAAGGAAATTCTCAAAAGTTCTATTTAAGAAAGTTTACTACCGGAGTTTTATAATACTACAAGTTCCATGAACTCGTTCCACCCTATTTTGTATCAAATTGCGATTCAACTTTATATTCATATCTGAGAATGTGTTTGATTACGTCTCCCTTATTTCGCCAATCTTCCGTCAATGAAACCCACTCGGATAAAGCTTCAAAAAGTAGCTCATTGACACATGTGTCTGTGCAAGGACGTTCAATGACACTAAGGTTGGCACATATGTAAATGACACACGAGTGGCTGAATCGCTAAAAAATACTGTCCTTTCAACCGAAATGAATAACCGGTTGTGTTAGTGATTACCTAGATTCCACTCGATGCGGGTATTTATGTTTCACTTTCATTTACGACGATTTTCACCCACTTCCCGTTTGACCCTATCCTCTTTTGCAAGTTGAGATACAGATCAATAAGGGCTTTTGCAGAAACACCGGTTGTTCACCAACGCTAAGCTTGTTTATTCATGACTTCACGTCAGTTACTTTCAACAAAATGTGACCAAATTTGCACGGTTTCCATATCGAGTCATATTCATGATCAGTTAATTATAGGATTCCTCCAGTTTGAGGAATTCGGTTTTTCATTTCTTTATATGTAGTCCTGAAAACAGTGTCGATACTCCTTAGTCCCCTGTCTACAGAAAGTGTGTGCACGTGCGGGAATAGTGCATATGTTATTCCTTTCTTTCTGTCCACTGTCCATGGCATGCTTTAGAAATCAGCAGCACGTGACCCGACGGTAATGTGTGAACCATGGAATCAGTAGACAATGGAAGTGGATGAATCACGTGACAAGCTCATGGCGGAGAGCAATTCCGGCTAGACAGGAAACTCATTTATCCGCTTTTATGCTTACCAGCTATATTTACATATTTCAGTCAAATGTATAGCATGAAAAATCTCACTATACGGTCAGGCTGGAGTTGTGCAATCTTAGGCCTCATTTTTAAAACGGATTATTATCTACTTATGATGAATTTTTGATAACCTGATTAATGGACCTCTGACATAAAACTGTGCTTCATTTGAATTCTGCGCTAGTGATAAATTTTGAATTCTTTATGGATTACTAAAAACAGATGGAGCGTGGGATTGTTCTCTTTGATCCCCATTTTTTCCCTTTAAAAATTTACGTTCTCCACCAAGTGATTTATCATTCTCATAATGATCAAAATCGTTGAAATTGGTCATTCGGTTTTACTGCATATTTGCACAACGCGAGGAACGGTTCATTGAGTGACATTGATTCACTCATGCTAGGCTTAAGGAAACCGACAAGTGATATGAACTCCTGTTCAGATGTGCGATATCAGGCGAACGAAGAGGAGGCCCAGAGCACAGAACGAATTTGTCTCTAACTGAAGGAGTCCTAGGGCCCCAGAGTTCATTTAATGTATCAAGGAATTAGATAGTTGAGATCCACTAAAATGCGTTCTTTTCGTAACCTGCTGAAAATTAGGTCTGAGAGGGAGTGCAAAACCAGTTAGGTTGTGTTGAATTTCACACATCAGCAGGTAGCATATTTATCGATTAATTGTTTAAATTTTCATCCTAAACTATTTATTTGCTAGTAAAACCATGTACGGTAAGTGAATTGCGGTTGGATGTACAGAAGTCCTTATTCGGTGTAAATGTCTGCATATCTTAGTTCACGCGAAAAACAAACAAACATGATTTATTGATGTGGGAAAAGGGAGGACTGAATTTAAAGAATCATTTCTCTCAGCAGTATGCAAATCCGAAACTCGAGGGTATACAGTTCTTCAATAACAGACATAGTTACCGCATACGCAACTTTTTTCACGTGATTTTGACAGGTGAACGGTAGACCTCACTGAGCATATCATAATTGCATCGCCGAACTGATTGTAATCATTTGAATACTGTTATTTGAAATCCTCTCATCTCGATTGCTGCGCTAGAAAGTCGATAGAAATCATGACTGATTGAAAATCACGTCGGGATGCACAGGATAGTGTGAACAAAAGAATGTCAACTGTGCATGATTCCTCTTTGTGCAAAGCACTTTTTCTATAGAAATTTTAAACTGTTTTTTTTTCAGGAGTGAATGTTGCACTTTGCATTCACCATAAGGTTGTGCACTTGGATATGCAGTTTCTAATTGTTCCAACTCGGTAAACTCAGTCACGCTATTTCTCTCTGATCGAAGTAAGCAGCATACTGTTTACTCTGCTACGCGCTTTCTCTATCTCAATTGATTATTGTTGACTGAGTGCGAATAGGTCATGTGCTATAATTTAATGCCTTGCAATTTGTGATCATATACGGAATTCGTCGTGTAAATGAGGCGTGAGATGAAAAACGGGAAAGCACCGGGCAGCTGTTTTGTGATCAGTTTTGGGAAGAACTTCTGATTGCAAAGCGTGCGGTTTGTTCCACCCCCCCCCCAGTGAATTATCTTCATATGTTTGGCATTAGCTAGACGAACCACACAGATGTACCTGACTAATACTGGACCAATAAACTGGTAACATTCATTCTATGATAAGATCACTTAGAAATAATTCTGAATCGTTAATTACCGAATAGCTTTGAAATAAAGCAGTTTGGCCGAATGGACTGAATGGACGGCTGGTCTTCGTCCGAGGGACAAAGTCAGTCGATGCATCATTAGAATCCATATGAACAAGGAACATAATCTCAAAACGCGTAATTCTGTAATTTACGATCAGTTTAGAACTTCACTCGATGCCAAGCATTACATACAAATTTAACAAACAAAATATACCACGGAATGTAATAACCATGTTCCAGACCTTCTTGAGACTGTTCGTTTCAACCTTTTGAAACGAATTTTCTGATGTCGATGATAATGCAATATTGTTCATTGCACAGCACCCCTAGAAGTCATGGGTGTTGAAACCTAATCCCTATTTCATTTTCCACCTTTATTTACATCATATAGTCGTTCTCAACTTGGTCTGTTGTCAGAAATGAATAGGAAATGATTGGTTGCCAAGCTCGAGGAATCTTGGTGTGAATAGCAAAACTCCTCTTTCCAATCTGCTCTTGCTATTTCAGAAACAACGTGTGAGCGTGAACGGATTCTTAAACATCAAAATCTTAAGATCTTGTAAAATTGCACATTCTTGTTCGTAAAACGAACACGAATTTTATTCTTCGAGGAGCAAAGTTTTACCCAGAAAATTTGACGATGAGATCTCCTACAAATTACTGAAAGATTCCTCTGCCTTTGTACATCAACCAAAGCTGCATCAGAGATTAAATGAAAGACAATCGTGTAAAATGACATTCCTCTACGGTTTTCTTTCAAAATCGAATTTATAGTTGGATAATAGTAAAATGGGGAACGAGAATGCATTTAGTGACCAAACTGTGATCGATTCCTTACCGTGTGAACACATACGGCGCACGACAGTAGTAAAGTTTGGAGGATTATAACCGAACTGTAGTGCTGTATCATTCACAATGATGCCCAGTAGTGCATTCATGTAAATTAGCGATTTTAAACGTTTTTGATGCTACTAATACATAAGATTTGTAGATCCATGCAACAGCGTTGACTGGTAATCATCGCTTAGCATGAAGCTGATAGACACATGTGTCTCAAATTAATGGGAAATACAAAGTTGAGTGTTTTTTAGTTTATGCTCAACTGATGGTTAACTAAGAGCAGTGATAAGAAATGTTTGAAGCTGATTCGCCTGAACACCCTTCAGACATCCTACTGAAATATGCTCCTCAGTTCAAAGTACACTCGTGGTGCAGTAGACTCAAGCTGTGCTCATGTTAAAGCTCATCACTAAAGTATATCTTACCGAACATGCGATCTTTTAACTCCAGCTCTAATCCTTTAAAAGCGTGTGTGACACCATTGCGTTAACTTTCTTTCTTCGCCGGGGTTGACCAAAAACATGAATTAAAGTGCATCCCGTTTTCGTCCATAGCGATTGTTGACAAGCAGTTCACACGACCCGGATGCAAAATTAACATATCAGCAACTCGTGAGTGTGTTACCGGAGAGTTCTCACAGACCTCTGCGTTCGCAAAAGTGCGTTTTCACCGGTTCGTATTATTATATTACGGTTGATCTGCATTCCGGCGAACTTAAAACAATGAATCCGTTTTCACGGGTTCAAGAAAAACGCACCAGAGGACAAACGAAAGATTAAATAATTAGTCGTTTGTGACACTGGACTCACTTGGAATGGAATGGATTGTTGTGAACCTTGATCTTGTTCCGTGACCGAGATGAATGAGCTGGTGACGGGCGACAAGTAGGCCGAATCCGGCTCCTCGCATACATTAGCCGTGGCCCCAAGAGGCAAACTCCGCCCACCGGAATCAGTCTGACAACTGCTACTTTCTGTGCGATTTCGTTCCACACTCTCGCTCATGTTGATACTTGTTCCATGGACGGCTTCAGCTGGGGAGATCATTTCCAGCTGAGACCGACCAAAGTCCCCAGATGTGATTGATGGTTCGCGACTAAGTAAGGGGATCTCGGTACAATAGAGCGGGTTACTAATCTGATTCGGAGAGATTGAGGCAGATTTTTCTCCACTTTGTTGGTGCGGAAAGTTCATGGACAAATACGAGGGTAGGGAACTTGTGGAGCCGCAGTCTAGGCGAGGGGCTTGAAGCGGAAGCTGCCCACTTGACTCGGTTGACAGACGTCCAGCCACGTTTTCCGCTAGTTGGGCCGCATAATTTTGTTGCAAAATTTGTTGAATAACGCGTGGATCTTGAAAGGACTGTTTCAGCAGGGGTGACTGGAGTAGTTGAGTGAGTAATTCTTTTGTCAACGGTGTTACTGATGTACTGGGGCGTGTATTTTCCGATATACAACAACGTGCAAATTCCGCAGAGTCTACCATCTGAAGGAATAGTAGGTTACATAGAAAGTGCGCGTTCATTAACATTTGAGAAAGAAAGCGTGAACGTTTTGTGCAGGATAAGGCTATCGACTAATAAATCGGATCATCCAATAACAGAAGCTCTGAGCGAGACTATCATGTGAATTATGAAATAGAATAAAGTTAGTAATTTGGTTGATAATGAACAACGGTCAGAAATGCTTCAGAAATTTATTCATAGAACGTTTATAAGTAATATAACACAACTGTTAAAATGATACATTCAGATTGCGATTGTGGGATCCAAATCCATTACATACTGCCCACTACAGTGCTTTGTTTTCTTCTACTCTTAAAACCCTATCCCTTAAAAAACATAAGAGCAGTGTCTGAAAGTCGCTAGTCAGACTGATGTGGATACCAGCTGTTCAGTATCACAAAAATGAATTATTGACAGAATATTGCCCGTTAATTATGAATTGATGAATAATGTAAATTGTACCGAGTGTACCTCTCTCAGATAGCGAATAAACCCAGCTCAGTAATACTGAACAGACGTGATTGACCTGATTCACGGTTGCGCGGATTTTGCTTTTCAAGTGTATGTATATTTGCAAAGATCCTGTAATTGTAGACACCTTTCCACGGCATCTTACTAGTATATTTATAAACATCGTTTTGTGTTACATTATCAATTGCCTTTCTAATCTGTCTGGTATAAACAGGTTTTGTTAAGCAGGGCATTGATATTTTGAGTATGTTTATTAAAGCCATATCACATTTCACTAGTATTCGCGTTCTATTTGTGCCGAATTTGCATGTGTAAATTGTATCTTTTCGTGTGACATACTTTGTAGTAAAGTCTTGTTTGATTAGACCTATTTACTGCATATCACTTTTACTAAGAGGATGACTCCTCTGTCCACCAAATTCACGCGCAGTTTTTCTGTACGCCGGAACGCGTCACGTGCAAATCCCAACCTCTCATGAGAGACACGTGATCAAATCTTCCAAGGTGACCCGTGTAATTTTTCGCACTGACTTATTTCTATTTTTTGCATCATCGCTTCTATAATTACGTTTTTTCACCTCTTTCTGCAATGTCTTCATCATCGGCTCTGGTAACTAGTGATAAATAGAGTGGTGAAATGTTGAAGGTCTATCCCTTTGAAAAAATGAAACCGAGTTAACTATGCTGATCTGGAAGAACTTTATTTTTTAAATATCTCCTACTCAACTGCATGTCTTTCATTAGTCGTAACTTTAAAATGAAAAAATTAAATCATCTAAGTACAACTTTATCGAAATTCGAATGTGATATACCGCTTGCTTTCGACGGTCAATGTTCATGGTAACGGAAAACGTACACGATAATTTTAGTGTAATTGACCATACCTGGGTTATCAAGCTGTAATAAATCAATTAATGCTATTAATTCAAATTGGTAATGAGATCCATAGAGAGATTGAGGGCTTGTTGAAAATAAATCTGCTACTTTTTCCGGAGGATTTTAATTTTTTTATTACAACCCTTATCAATAATAACGGGAAAACACCTGGTTTGAAGCACTAATCGCGAGTCTGTGTTTGATGCTTGATGCCTCGGTATTGAGCTATAGATAAATTCTCAGATAATAGAATAGTTCTCGATTCTTCTTGGTGTCTGTGTTCTTGATTAAGTGCCCACAGTCAAAGTACAAAATGCCGAGATGTGAACTGAATACCATTAGTACTGATTGAAGGCAATCACGTGGAATCTAATATATTCTGTCTGCTGACAGCGGATCAAAGGTAGGAAGTCACATGACCCATCACTTGTTATTAACCGAGGAATATCTCACATTCACGATGCAGTTGATCAACGGAAACTCAAATGATGAGATATTTGATAACGGGCTATTTGGATTAACGTACTGAGTGGCGTATTCACTCACAGGTGTGTATACACGGTCCTGCTACGAAGAGGAATTTTATTATTCAGTTTGATTTGTTTGTACGAGACAAAATCAATGTAAAATCCACCGAAATCTGTACGAATAAAATAAAAGGTTGCATTCTTGCTTACGCCCTCAGTTAAATATGGCAATCTGTAGATGGAACCAACACAGAACTAGCTATCATTCCACATTATTTATTTACGTTATAAGTGGACCAGAATAACAGGTGAGAATAGAATTTTCGTACATACCTTGTTTTGAGATAATTTATTACAATTAAGTATTGCAATTTATCCCAATAAAATGTTTATTGTATCCCAAATAGATTAGTCATCAGGCAAACTCCGCGTTTTATCATAGATCATGAAACATTTCGAACAAATTTCTGAACTATAAAAAGACATTCCTATTTTACATAACTCATGCATAATGCTTTGGGTAACTATCCCGAAAGATGTTAAAAGATTTAGGCACATTGGGAGCCGTAGTAAGTTTCGGTCTACTTTCCACGAACTGTTTCCCAGCTAATGTTGTGGTAATTAAGGAATGTGGAATTAAAGTGGTCCTGCTTTACAACAGATTTCACCGCCCCCCCCCCAAACTTAGCCGACTAATTGCTAGGCCTGGAAACTACACTTATGGAACGGATGTGGGGTTTTTGCAGACCAATTTACTCAAGGAATTTTAGTTGATCAATCTTTCAGAAGAACAAACCTATTTTTGAGTGCACATTTAAGGTTTTACAGTGAATTATCGGTACATTTCATAGAGCTTAGGTTTTCGTGCCACAAATTCCGAGGTGTCGTGATACGAAACAGCAAGAGAACAAATCGTGATAAACAGCAAATTTGGTTTCTGCTCTGGTATATGAACTGTGGTAGAAAAATTTGATGCCAACAATGAATCGGGCAATTAGAAATTGAACGGAGTGTAGTAGAACATGCATGCTTCGGGATTCAAACGCGTTGGAGAAGGTTTGCTGACTGCACTGCGTAAGCAAAGTGTTTATTTTAAGGGTTTCCGCCTGGAACCTGGGACCTTATTATTCGAGCAGAAGATCAATATGAAAAAGTTGTCATATATCATTTTTAAATTGAAATACCGAGGGATCAAACGTTCCCAGTTAGCTCCAGACTCAGTTGTGATAGATTCAATGGTTTTAGTTTTAGAAAACCGGTCATAATCATTTCTTTTACTTCAGTCACTGGGAGCTATGAGACACTTGAAGCAAGTTCCGTGATCAACTGGAAACTCCGTAAACCGTGCTAGCATCCCCTCTGTTTGCTCGCAGTTGCTTATATGCAGCCGCCGAACAGATCTCCTTCACCAACTATATCCTTCTTTGAAGTTGCAGCACTGTCCACAACTCGAAGATGCTTCAAGTAGCATGGAGTTTTGCTTTTCCATTGATTGTCATTTTTATATTGGAATACAGATAGGTAAATCCGTACGAGTCTAGAGCTTTGACCTTTGATTCCGCAACGTGAATGAATCCTTTCCTTCTCACCAAGATATATCTTCTTTGTGATAACACAAACATCCAATTCAGATTTGACGTTCGTGATTTAAGGTACAAAGAGGGGGAACAACTGCCTTAAGTGCGATGATCAAATGGGATTTGCAAACGAGGGCACGTTTTGAAGAAAGTAACCACTAGTTTATGGAGGATTCCCATTAGATAATAATTACCAGCTATTAGTTCAACATTATGAATGAGCGATTTTGTTTGAACACAAACAGAATGATGCGGTTAGTGAGATAGTTGGGAAAACGGAATGTGTGTGGTGAAAATTAGCCGACCAAAATTATCAAGAGTTGATAATGGTTGGATACGGGATCCATTATGAACTTGGATAAACCTCCTCTTTTGAATGAGACATACCAATTCTGCGAGGGCTATTCTTATGCTATCTAGAAACACTTGACTGTGAACGCTGAATAAATGGAGACTCAGTCATTTTTAGAAGGGTTTGTATGACAAAATAGGCATACATAAAACTAGACTAAAACCAAGATTTCAAATGATATCGTGTGGAATATCTTTGCCCTGTTACATTCATCCGCCGCGTATTCATCCATGTGAAGTGGAGTTGTACTGAGATCAAGAGGTAAAATGTTGCAGTAGCTTTACGTACCGTACGAATTCAAAAGGAGGCCGAATAATGTGTCTAAATATTCGAGCTCCAAGTTATACAATCTTATAATGCTTCCAACACACCTTTATTTTCAAATGCGATAAAAAAACACACATTAACTTGTTTTTCATTCAGTTATACACATTGAGAACTGAGCTCAGGGCTTTGTATTTGGATAATCGAATAGTTGAGCAATTATTTCCTGTAATTATATGCTTATCTATAGAGAAATGAGGGACCGGAATCAAATTATATAATCGACTGTATTTTATTTAGCAACATGAGAGTACCAGTGTAGTACGTAGTCTTAGTTTCACCTAAACAGTCGTTTGGTACCGAATCGGTAGCCAGATAGTGTAGTACTATTTGTCGCGTCGAATGTTGCATATTGTGGATTTACAGTTTCACCATTCAGAGGGTGGTCGGTTGCTAGCATCAGACGTTGGGCCAACGTGACTCCGGGTTTTTTTATCTGCATTGTGCGGTCCATTGTTGTGCCAAAAAAAACAATATACCAATTTTCCGCTTTCACCGCGCACTTTTTGAAAAAATGTAACTTGACATTTGGGTGGATCTGCTGTGGGAAGTAAGGTTTAGGCATTCTAAATACCAACGGGTCACGTGATCTCAGGTTCAACGTTTGTATGTTGGAGATGTTTCCTGAATTGTTTGCAAACCAAGGTAGTTTCACTACATACATCCGGCTCCATCTATATAGTTTGTTAAAGATGTATAAAGCGTAACAGTCTGCGCACGCCCGTGAAGGTATTCAAATATCAACCGATCTGTGTTAAACTTATGCTAATTATCCTTCAAAAGTTAATCATGCTAAGGAATTTGAAAATTGATCTGGGGTACGCCCTGCGCTTCTTGGAAAATCGCAACTCTCCATTCAGTGATAATTTCGGTTAGAAGTCGAATTTCAAAGGCTCAGAGGGGTACATGGTTTT